AAAAATATTTACATATAACATCTAATAATACCTGTTCGAAGATTAAAACCAATGAGTATTTCTTTATTCGGTCCAATAACTACATCTAAACAATGTTTACCTTCAATTCGTCCAACAGATTGATTTTTTGTATTAAAATGTATAAATAAAGAATGTTTTATGACTCCATCCGATTTCCAATCAAATTTAAGTAATAAACTATGATCACGTGGAAATAATCCAATATCCCATATATTCATACTATTTCCAGCAGTAAAATGACTAACAAATATTCGTTCACGTGACATTTTATTATAAATATATACTTGTTGTAAATCTTTACTAAGTATCGCTAATAATTGATGATTTATTGCAATACGAAATGGTATAAATTTTGATGCAGCATCAAATGATATGAAATTATCACGTTTAGAAAGTTTAAATGAAATTTCATCTGTTAATAATGGTTGTGTATGAAAAAATATAGTTTGTGTAATCGTATCAATAGCCCATAGACGATTTTCATCAGCAAGATATTGACCTATAGGATTAGATAATTGAATAGGTCCATATTCAAGAATACCTTCATGTGAAAAAATAAAAAGATAATCAATTTTATCTTTTTCACGAGTATGTACAAGCATAAAGCGACTAAATACAGTAAATGATTGAACAAAAACATGTGTTTGTTCAGGAAAAAGATTAAACGATCGAATATATCGTGGAGAATCATAAGTAACTGGTGAAATATAATTAAGAAGAGATATAATACCATCTGAACTACAACTAAAAATTAATGTTGATTTACCAAGTGGATAAACACATAAATGAGTCGGAAGTGCTTTGACAAGTACAGTCCACATTGGTAATTTAGTTGGAATAGATTGAAATGATGTATCACCATAAGAATTAATCATTGATTGATCAGATGATGCATCTGATATTTTCGAATCAGAATTCATAGATTTGAAACGAAGTTCACCCAATATATTAATCGATGATTTTGTTTTTGGAGGACTAAGTATAGGTACCTAAAATAATAATTGAAGCAAATACACTAATGTATTTAGCATAACTAACTATATCTGCTTTATGTTTGAGTAATCGTAATTGTCGATCAGCTTCTTCATTTAAACGTTTAATTTCCTTTTCGACCTTGATATTTTCAAGAATATTGTTATTATTTCTATAATATTATATCATATAGATTAATAAATAAATAAAAAAAAAATATCAATATACTTTAAAGCATTTAATCGAGGTTCAACTAATTTTGATACTGTATTAATATCAATTGGTTGATGTTTTGATCTATAAATAAAGATTTTCTATATGTGAAAAAAAGTTGATTTCGACATACGCATTATTTTCATTTGCTTTTTGTTGCCTTATTAATACATTTTCGAGTTCTTTTTGATATTTATCAATATTTTCATTAAAATTTAATGTTCGTTGATCAATTGTAACATATAATTGATTGATTTCTTCATGAATTTTATCGAATGAAATCTTTTTTTGATTTTCTAATAATTCTTCACAAGTTTTCATTGTTTCTACTATTTTCCTCTTAAGATTTTCATATTGTATTTCACATTTTTGACAAAATTTTTCATTATCATCTATACAATTATTCTGACATGAATAACAAAGATTAGGTTTATGTTCTTCTCGTAAATATTGTTTAACCATAGTTGCTAATGTACCATGTGAAATAAGACTATTTGTAAATCGATTAATATTATCAAATGGAATTCGTGTTGAACAAATTGGACACATGACTAAAAATATATAACAATCATGATTTTATTATTATTATTAAGAAGAATTTACTAGATTTATCATTGCTTGATTCAGCTAAATATAAACAACATGAACGACAAAAAACATGACTACAAATAAGCATAACTGGATCATTATATAGATGAGATTCAGAAGGTTTAGCATGGCATGAAACAAATTCACGAGTAAATAATGGCATTAGAAAATGAAATCTAAAAAAGTTAAAAAATAACGTTTAAAAACTATAAATAAAAATGAAAATAAACATATTAGGTAATGTAACATTGAATGATAAATGTATTAGTATCATCAGTTAATGAACTAAGAAGAATTTCATTGTTTGATTTGCCTAGAGTTATATTTATATTTTTATTTGTATCAATATGTTCAATATACTGTTCATTATCTAACTGTATTAGTAATATTCTATGATGAAAACGGTAGATTAATGTTTGATTAGTCAGTTCAATATCACATGGTTCGAAATCGATTAATGGAGATTGAATTTGTTTTACAATTGAACTTGTTTGTTTATCAAATATGAGAATAAGTCCAGTTAATGCACGATCTAGAACAGCAACAAATAAGTCATTAACAGCAAATCGAAATGGATTAAATGATCGTTGTTGTTTAAATGAAATAAATTGTTTTCTTTCAAACGAATCATTTGATTGAAATATAAAATAAGAAAGTGACGATGATATCAATTCAAGACACCATAAATAATTGTTATTGAAACGAATTTGACTAATATACTCATTATGTAATGATAAAGAACGTAAAAGAATTCCATTAAATGAGTAAAAATGAATAATAGATTCAAACGGTGTATTAAAAACAACAATAAGTGAAGATGTTGAAACTGCTATGGATTTAATAATAATCATCGATTTAGATTCTTCATTATATTGTAAGATGAATCTATCAACAAGTACTAAACGTGTTGTTGTATAATTGTAAACAGATATCGAACCTTGTTGGCAACAGATAAATAATTTCGATGAATTCGAATCAAATACAATATGAGATGGATAAAAAGAACAGATCATTGTCCAGAGTATTTGTGATACAAATGGTACTGGTATATTTGAATCTGATGAAATAAGTTCACCTATTAAATGAAAAGGTATTATTGATGGCTCGAGTAGTATTGCATTTTTTTGCATTGATCCAACATACTCGGACGATTGTTGTTCAGTTAATGAATCATAACCTGAACTAGAATTTGCATCTTCAGACAAACTATTTAATGAAGAAAAATAGAGATAATATTAAAATTCAGTTGTAACTCACGTGTATTCATCGAGTTGAGCCAATATGGAGTCACTATATGTATCGATCTATGGTATATATTTAGAATGACTTTATAATATAATAAAAATAAAACAAACTTGATCGATTAATTCAGAAGTACAAAAATCAATATGTAATTCCATATTGTCTATTTTATCCATTATTTCTTTCGTATCTTGTTGATTTTTTCTAATAAATCTATGACATTGATCAATAGTAGAAAGAATATTCTTTTTTAATTCCATTCGATGATTAATAAAACATTCATGACATATATTTTTATTACAATGAATGCAAAATTCAAGTTGATCATTGTTACAATCTTTCGAATTTACTTTAAAACAAATTGAACATAAAGATTTAGTTGATGTTATCAATGATTTATCAAACTGTCGAGCAGTAATATATGGTACACAATGTAATGTAACATAGTATTTCACAGTTGACCAATCACGAAAACTATGTCGCATCGCACAAATACGACATTCTAATATAATTTCATCTTTTGTATCAAGATCTCGACGATGTAAATATGGTATACATTTAAAACAATATATATGTTTACAAGGCATCCATCTTGGATCATTAAATAATTTCAAACAAATCGGACATTTATTTCCTTGAGTTGTCATCTGTAATAAAAGTCTACGAATTCTATACGTTAGATTAAATAGTATTCACATGCAGCCAATACACTAAATAAGACTACGAAATTTGCTGTTTAATTCATCTATTTTTCATCGAAAACTGTTTTTACTATTAATTAAATACAAAAAAAAGGTATAGATGCACAAAAGAAACGACTAACTTATCATACCACAAACATTTGTTGTTTTGTTTTTTTTTCTTTGAAAATGAGAACAAAAAAAAATTATGTATACTTGTTAATTAAATAAATCTTATTTAAAATAAAAACCAACAGAAAAGTTCAATTTACATAAATATCTGACAAAAACAATTGTTGGTTTTTCTTTGTACAAAAACAAAATATGCGGAATTACTAGATTATATTTTATACGAAAAAAGTTAATAACAATGAATCAAACCATGATCATCTCGAACAGCAAAACCTAAAATAACTTCATCATCAGGTCCTAGGAGAAAAAAAAATAAATCAAAATTCATCTTATGTATATTCGAGAAGAACGAATACTTACCAAGAACCATACTATAGAGTGTATTCGCTTGAATTCGACGTTTTTCTTGTCCATCAGAAGTTAATTCAATAAGACAACGTCGAGGATTATTATGAAATTTATGTCTTTTTAATCTATCATTTAAATTATTATAATATTTATCTTCTGTAAGTTTAAGTAAACTTCGATTATCTTTAAAAATAACTCCATCAGTTAATTTCCATTGATGATTCTGTGAATTTTCATAAGTTGTTATCAAACGTGATTTATCATCTTTAGCATATAAACGATATAGATCATGTTCAATATCAATAAGACCAATTGATTGATCAGATTGTATCATTGTTGTTGGTTCAAATAATTCATCAGAAAAATCAAATATAATTTCTTCTTCTTGTAAACATTTTTGAATTTCTTTATTATCGTTCGGTGCCATATAACAATAGACATTATTTTGCATTGGATTAAGAGCCCAAAGACGACCATAAATTTGATCAGCAAGAATAACTCGTATAGGATGTGATTGATAAATACCATCAATTTCATCACCACCATGTGAAAATAAATAAATCATACCACCATGATCATTACAACGACCCTAGGGAAAAAAAAACAATTTCTTTTATGATGAAATACTAAATTATACTTGTTCGCCTTTCATAATAGGTAAACCAGCTTTGAGTAATTTTGAATGTTCAATTTCATTTGAACGTTGTTCAAAACGACGTACATAAACAATAATAGCAAATTCATAAACAGTAAATGATTCCAAAAGTAAACGAGAATTTTTTGGAAAAAGTTCTCCTGTACCAATTACTACTGGTTTGATATTACTTGTAGATTTTGGTAAACTATAAACACCAATTTGACCATAATCATCAGCAATAAATAACATATAATCATGTCTATGATGTGGACGAGTATTAAGTTGACGAGCACGATTACGATTATCAAGTACAGCAAGAAAATATGGAATTTCTTTAAAATAAATTGACCATCGATATTGATTATTAGGAACAGTATCAATATTATTGTCCGTAGTTTGATTTAGTACAGGACGTGGACGTGATGATACACGACCACGAGGATAATAAGTACCATTGGATCTAAAAGAATTAAAATTCGTATTAATAAGGAGAATATTTTAATACATACCGGCTATTTCGAGGATAACTATTATTATTATTATTATTAGGAGATAAATCAAGTAAATGTGATAAATGTTGAACTCCACGTCCACCTCGTGATCGAATAGATGATCGCATTCGACGTGGATAACGACTGGGTCCAGATCTTATTGACATTAATGGTGATAAATCGTTTTTATTTGATTGGATTTCTTCCTCATAATTATCTGTTAATAATTGTTGATCATCAAACTTCAGTTCACCAATTAAATGAGTAACATCAACTGAAAGTGAATCAGGTTGAGATAAATAAGGAATCTAGAAAACAATGAAAAGATGTAAAAGTACAAATAATTAATTTCACTTACTTTCATTTTAATTTCTTTTAATTGTTTATCACGTATTATTAATCGTTGTAAGAGTCCTTCTATTTCTTCAAAGAATAATAATAATTTTGACATATTTATTTCTCCTCTAAAATAAACTATTTTTTATCTTGGTTTTTTGTATTTAAATTAAATATTTTTACTCAAGTATTTTCGGAAGGCGATCTCTCAATAATTGATAATCATTATCAACATCATTTGATTTTATCCTAATTAAAAAAAAAGAGATCCACATATATATATATTTTCTAGAATAGTATATTACGTTGTTTCGAGATTGTGAACATGAGTATCAATATGTTTTGTCAGTGTTTGGCGATGATTATCAATACTAATTTTTAAATGTTTACTTCGTTCTTCAATTGTTTTTCTTATAGAATCAAGTTTCGGTATTGCACCCATCTCATTTTGATGAGATAAAACTAGATATGAAAAATGATAATATCTTCTTTTTTATTAAAATCTTTAAATTTACGTACGGACATGATCATTAATTCGATTAAATTTTTCTTTACATTGTTTCCATTTATCTTCAAGAACATCTGTTATCATTTGATAATGTTGTTCAATACATATTTCACATATATCACATTTACAATGTTCACAAAGAATAATCATATTCGATTTTTTCTTACATATTGCACATGGTGGTTGAGCAACCGCGACTTGTTTACGTGTAATTGGAAGATGATTAGATGATAATGATGATGTTGTTGTTATTGATACAATTGTTTGATGATCATTTAGATTATTACCTTCTTCAGTTACTGGAGATAATATAGACGTCACATCGTAATCAACTAATTTTGTTGATGATACTTGATTTTGTTTAATATGTTGACGAACAAGATCATTGACAACACTATCAACTACTAAAGACTATATTCAAGAAAAATAATGTTAATTTCATCTTTTCAATAAATTATTGAAGAATCATATTCAAATCAAGAGAATTAATAAGTTCGATATAAAATTTAGCAAATTGATCAGGATAGCAACAACTTACTCATACATAGAAATCCCGGTTTGTATTACTAGTTCTTTATGTTCACAAGAGCTATATTAATAAGTGACTCTGTATATAATCAGAAAATATGTTTTCTCATAAAAATTCACCTTTTCAAGTTCATCTTGTGATTTAAATCGATGTATAATTGAACAATTACAAGATAATGTATAATTATTAACAAGTTTTAGACAACATAAATAACAATAAACACAACCACAATGAAGACGACGAGCATCAGAAAATAAATTTTTACATATTAAACAACGAACAAGATGATCAGGTAGATAACAGGCCATAATATTCTAGAATAAATCAAAGCTCATACAAATATCTTAAGCTGTACATATACATAGGTTCTCTCTCTCTCTCGTTATCTTTTTTTTTACTAATCGTTTCGTCAAATACATCTACATGTTATTTTTTTTTACTATAAAACAAAAAGCAAAAATTGAAGACAAAAACTAATAAAATCATAATTGTTTAAACATAACATTTGACAATGCCTTTCGTATTTATTCTAACACCAATAAGAATTTCATCCATAGGTGCTATCATCATTCCATATGCATCAATTTCTTCAATTGTTCCAATAATATTATGTTGTTCACTTGTATCAAGTTGAAAATAAATATGTTTTGATGGGCCGGTTTTTAATGTACTCATTTCATCAAGTTTAATAAGTAAACTATTATCAGAAAATAATGCCATATCCCAACAAAAATGTGTCGATTTATTATGTATATTCACATATTCATATAATTCCTGTTTTGTTCGTTTATCATAAATATGTATTGCTTGTCGATTTTTATCTAGAACGGCTATAACATTTTTATTCACAGATATATGTATTGGCGCAAATGGTTTGGAAAATTGTACATGTAAATGACGTTTTTGAAGATGTTCTTCAGGATTATTTGTTTTTGTATCTGGTAATTCATAATAATATAAACAAAGTTGTTTTTGATCTAATGACCAAAGAACATTTTTTTCGGTATCAATTGTTAATTCACGTGATGGATGATTATGTATACATTTACCATTTGCAACTAATTTACCTTCATGTGTAAATAAATAAATAGTACCATGTAATTCATTTTTTTTACGTTTAAATACAATTATCCATAATTTATAAACAACGAATGAATCAATTATTGTTTGATCTTCATCATTTGTTGTTGTACTAGGATTATCTTTAAATAATTTAATTTCACGACATAAACTTGGCTTTTGACGCATATCATTTGCTTTATTTAATTTGTAGATAGCTAATGAACCTAATAAGAACACAAAAAAAAACGTTTAATATTTATTATATATGTATATTCAAACCATATTTATCACAAACAAATAAATGATTTCCATATGTTCGAACATAATACGGAACAGAAAAATAATCAATTTGCCATAGTTTTTTCTTTTGTATATTTGTAGTTGATAATGGTAAGGGTATTTGTTCATTTTTAATTAATAAATTATTTTTATTATTATTATTTGATGGATTAATAAAAACAAAATCTTCATCTTCAGATTTTAATTGAAAATCATTATAACCATTTGTTGTTTGGGATACATAAGGATCAGATCTATTTATATCAGTATTTAATTGAATAAAGTCAAGTGTACCAAATAATGATGATGCATCGATTTGTTCTGGAAGGGTAAGCATTGGAAACTAAATCATAATATTTTAGTTTTAAAAATAAAATCAATTATATACACTACTTTTAATTCATTGGAATCAAGAAGTTTATTTAAATTATCTAAACGTCCTTCAAGATGTTCAATTTCAAATAAAAAATCATTAATTTTATCAGCATTAACATCAGCAGATCTATTCATGAAAAAAAATAAACATACTCCAATACGAAACAACAATGATTAGAATCAAATACCTAAATAATTCTCCAACTCGTTTATCAATTGATTCATATTCGTCAACAACTTGTTCATGTGCAAAACTAAATATTCATATAAAAAATCATCGTGTTAAAGTTTCGATAATTATCTCCTGACTCAAGATTTTATTCATAAAACAACATACCTTTGTTTATGAGTTCGAAGATGATTTTCAATAATATCAATATACATATTCTTTCGATCTTCTACTGTCTGAATTAATTTATCACTATGTTGAGTAATATATGTTTGTAAATTACGTGCTTTATTATTAACTTCCTCTTCATCACTATCAAAACGCACTAAAAATGTATAACAATAAAAATCTAATAATTATTTTTTTTGAAGAGAAAAATTACTTGATTGTTCATTGATTGTTTCAAATTTTATTTTACATAAATCCCATTGTTGTTTAATATCGTCATTAATAATACTTTGATGTTCGTTAGCACATTTAACACAAATAACATTATCACAATGATTACATACAATTAATTCTCCTCGTATATTACATGTTTGACATTTAGCAATAAGTGAACGTGTTGGTGTTGGTGTTGGTGTTGATGTTGTTGATGTTGTTGTTTGTTGTAAAACAGAAGCAGGTCTTTGTTGATTAATAATTGATGATGTAGAACGTTCTGAACCTGATTGATCATGATTATATGAATTAATTTCTTGTTTTGTTATTAATGGTATAGGTGTGGATGAAAAAATTTGTGATATATGTGAAATTGTTGATGATGGTCGTGATAGTAATCCTGATGGTATAGCTGATAATCGACTTTGACTTTTCTTAAATTGAGCGACCATCGATGATAGAAACCCATCACGCATACATCGATCATGAAATTCCTCGAATGAATTATATTGATGAAATTTTTCACATTTTGGACAGACTAATGTTAATGTTTCCTCATCGAAACGACCTGATATACAGTCAAAACAAAATGAATGTGAACATGGGATCTAAATAAATATATATAGTTCAATAAAAATAGAATCTTCTTGTTTGATTTTAAACATTTTTACTTGTCGAGGATCAGCATAATAATTTCGGCATAATTCACATGTAACAAGTTTAGCATTAATCATACTTAAATCAATTCTATTATTATGGTGGCATTAGTATTTAGTAAAATCTGAAGAAGAAAAAAAAAAAACAAAAGTTCAATAGAGTTGTTTTTTATTTACACTGTTTTGAGGTTGAAATCTGACAAGAAAAGAAAAAGAAAAGAAAACCGTGACTATTTTAATTATATATCTGACTTATATGAAATTGAAACAAGTAATAAAACAAGAAGAAATATATATATATATTAAACATAAAATAATTTCGAATTATCTATCAAACATAACAAGTAATGAGACCTTCGAAACAATTTGATTTTCTTAAACCAGCAATAACTTCTGAATTAGGACCAATTGCAAAACCATAAACATTAGTTGCTTGAATTTGTGATATTGGTTCATATTTACCATTTGATTCATTTTTTTTAACATGTACAACAATATGATGAATAACTTGTGAACGATCACCGGTACGTTCATTATCATCAAAACGTAAGAGAAGACTATTATCAGGAAATATTTCAACACGCCATAATTTATTTTCACCGGTTGGTAAACATTCGGCTGAATATACACCAATTTCTTTTTGAGTTATTTTGTCATAAAATGTTACTATTTGGGTTCGAGAATCTAAAGTGAATCATTATTTAATTTACATACAAAACGATCGTATACGTCTTTATATTAAATCTTTTGAGTTCAAGTGTATAACATACCGAGTAATGCGAGAATATTTTGATTAACTGCCATACGAATGACATCACAACTTCGATCATTTAAACGTGTTGTCGTTTTATGTGTAGCTAAAAATGTTGGAATTTCTTTATTGGTTCGTGGTAAATCATGTTTATAAATACAATGCATGCCTCGATCGACAGCCCCTTTTTTGAGTAAATAGAAAAAACAAATAATAGATCGAATTAAAATTAGTTTTAATCCATACATATACAATTTCCTTTTGAACTTTCATCACAAACTAATTGACGAAGTGTATATCGATGATCATATTCAACTTTCAGTTGTAATTGTCCAGCATGAGTAAAAAAAGCAATAAAATTAGCAAGTGATTCATCAGATCCTTTGACAAACACACATATATATGGTTTATCTAAATCAGATCAAAATGAATAAATAAATTGACTGCGGTTTTTCTTATACAAAACTTACAGACACTGAATGATTCGACATAGACACGAGACCAAGTACCAACACGAAATTGTGGAAAGAGAACAAATGATTTTTTAGGTACAGGTTTGGTACGTGCATTTGTATAAGCCCATGTACTAAAATTCATTCATTTTAGATTATATATATATGTTTTCTGAAAAAAGAAAATTTTAAATCATACCTAACGAATCCCCAACGATCTGATGCAAATAAAATCGATTGCCGATAAAGTGCAATATATTGTGGTACAAATTTAAAATGTAAAGACCATAAAAGTTTTTTAACTGGAATATTTTCTAATGTTGGAACTTGTGATGTAGTCTCACATTCTTTTACTTCTTCTTCGTGAACTTTTTCATCGGGTATTTGTTGATCTTCAGTTGAGCTTACACTTTCATTATCATTTATTTCTTCTTCTTCTTCTTGAATATAACTTTCGTGACGATTATCATCATCATCATTTATGAGTTTAAGATGTTCAAGAGATGTTTCAATAGAAATTGTTCCGAGTAGTGATGAATCAAAATCCGATACTGAATAAATTGGTAATTTATGTGCATATTCATCAGTTTGTTTAGATCGTTGACGTAGTTTAGTTTTAAAAATATTTATTTCTTTAAGAATTTGTTCAGCTTTAATCGGATCTGGATCTTTTGAACTAAAAGAAAAAAACTAAATATATAAAAAAGAATTTTTTCGTATTACAAACTTCAGAAATAATTGAATATTTTGATCAATACATTGAAATTGTGTTGTTATTTCTTGACGAATAGTATTATATGTCTCTGAATATTGAGTAATTTTATTTTGATATATATGTCGACATTTTTCAATTGTTTCCAAAAGAAAATTTGAACGTTTTTCAATACGAGATTTTAATTCATACATATGAGATTCAAGATCAAATTGTTGTTCATCGAATAACACTTCATAACAAAAGATTCATTTTAAATAATAAAATAAAAAATAAAATTATTACTCGATTTTTTATACATAAAATTCCACATATCTTTACATTTCGTCCAATTTTCTTGAACATTATTATTTACAATCAATTGATGCTGAGAAATACATTCAAAACAAATGACTTGTTCACATTCAGGACAAACAACTGAAAAAGAAAACTTATCTCTTGTCATTGTAATTTTTGATTTTTTAGAATAATACCGAGTTCTTTTCGCAATGTACATTCAGCACATTTTGCAATGAGAAATGGAGCTGGACTTCGTTCAAGAATTTGTTCAAGTGTAAATGCTAACAATGGTGTTGATTGAATATTATTTTTACGTCGATGTTCAGTTACCAATGACATAAGAAAAGCATCGACAATTAAACTTGTTTCAAAATGTGAAAATGAATCATATTGATGAATACGTCTGAAGAATAACAAAAAGAAAACTTCTATTTAAATTATCAAAACTGTCAAGGCAAAAAAAATAACTCAGATCTGAAAATCGGAAGCATTTAAGTAATGTAATTCGTATAGGAAATGTTATTTCCATAATAAGAATCAAACCCTTCTTTCGAAGTCAAGGAGAATGAAATAATAAATTATGGCGAAATACAATAAAAATGAATGTCATAATACGTCATTTTCTTATGATCGGATTTATCATCTTGAGTATGATGATTTAATATCAATCATAAAATACTTCAGTTCCAACAAAAAAAGCTTGTCAGCGCAACCCCGTTGACGCAAAAAATATGAAACTCACCTATATTCGTCTCAGAGTCACGTGGTAACCTTTAAGTCTATGATCTACTCTTATCCGTGAAAAAAAACGTATCTGTTACTATTGAAACTTCTTCACAGGTACTATAGAAGATTTTATATGCGATAGCATTTGAAAGATATGTCAACTAGCAAAATTGAATTCAAAATTTATGATTACGATTTTTTTTTGAAGGGTGGGTGATATATTAACCTGTCACTCATACCTACACTCTTATTCCAGATCATATACAGCACCTCATCGATTTTTAGTAAAACTTACGTGCATCGTGAACAAACAATTCTATTTGATATGGTATCGAATTGTGATATTATACATTTATAACAAAATGAATGACCACATCGTAATTGTCTAGCATCCTTGAATTAAAATACAATTAAAAGAATTAGTACAAGAAAAGAATTCTTACATGAAATAACGATTGACAAACTGTACATAAAAGAATATTGCGTGATATTGACATATTTCATTGAATTCTAAAAGAAAGATTTAAAAATTGAACTGAAAAGAAAAAGAAAAGTTCAAAGCAAAATAAATATATAAATATAAATATATGATTTATATCTAATCATCATGTTTATTAATAACCAGTAGAAATGAAAGAAAAAACGAAAATAAACATAAAATATGAAAAAGACCAAAAAGGAACAAACGAAAATTACGCTAATAGTTTGTTATGTTAAAATGTAAACTTAACTTCCTTTTTTGTGTTTTTCTTGCATTTTTAATCCATATCACAATGAACAATGAAAGTAAATAGAGAAATATGAGCAAAACCAAAAAGAAAAAGAGAACAAATAAAGTTTCTTATGTACAAGATATCTTTCAACGCGAGTGAAAAAAAAGAAAAGAAAAAAAGTCTTGTTTTGTCTTGACTAGATCAAACAAATATAATCAAGAACAAGCAAAGAAAGAACTATATAGTACACATCATTATCAGCAGCAGCAGCAGCATTAAACAAAACAAGGTTACATTCTCACCAATAATCACAGATATAAATCATCCTTTTTTTTAGACAAAAAAACTAAAAATATACAATAAAAGATGATATTTCACTTTTTTCTTTCATACAGACAAAAAATAATCATGGTATTTTATTCCTAGTTTTAATTTCAGTTCTAAATAACTCCACCGGAATTTGGGTTTTTTTTCATTAATCATTGTTCGTTTATTTTCTTACATAACATTGAACAATACCACTCTCTTTTGTTTGACGAATACCCAAAATAACTTCATTACTAGGTCCAATAATCATTCCAAATACTGAATTAAGTTGAATTTTACTTATTATTTGTTTTGTTGAACGATTTACTTCATAAACAATATGTTGTCGAGTTACTGCATCATGATCAGCACGTTCATCAACTTTAAATATAAGACTATTGTTATCTTTTCGTATGGCTACAACAAAAAAAAATAGTATCATTAAGCGTGAGATTCAAAAGATTCATTTGTTTCCATCTGGGGAGTGTGGGTGAAAGCGAAAAGGATAGTACCCACACTCTTAAGATGAAAAGAAAATGAAATATGATCTTACCAATAATTCCCCAACTTTCAAATTTATCCATACAATGTTCACATTTAAATTCTTCGATTTTTTCTGCTGTTTGTTTATTATATAAATGCACTGTACAATCATTTCGTTCATAAAATCCTAAAATATCATCGTTCTGTAACATTTTAACAGCTGTATAATTAGGATTAAATTGTGTAAAATCACGGCGTGTTTTCATACATGTTTCAATTTCAGCTAAACTATTTGGTAATGTATGATAATAAATTGTACAACGCATACGATCAAGACAATAAAGACGATTAGCATTTTGATCACATAAAATATGATGTACTGGAATACTTTGATGTATACCATTTGGTAAAACTGGTTTACATTCATGATTAAAAAAATATAATGTACCAGTCATTGTATCCTGTTTTTTACGTGAATAAACAATAAGAAATCTTGATGATGCAACAACAGATTCAATCCATTCATCTGTATCATTTGGAAATAATATATATGAATCAAATGGTTTGGTGGGTTTAGGTGGAATACTACAAACAGACACTTTACCATATTTATCAACAACAAAAATTTTTGGTGTAGGATAAGGTGTCATACATAAAAAATTAGGTACTAAAACAACATAAATGAACATTTATTTACATAGGAAAGTTTTTGAATTATATACCAGCTGTATGTTCAATTTTCCATGATTTAACAAATGTACCACTTGTTGAAACAGTTCGATTTGGTATAGTTGTTAATAATGATTTGATATTTTTATCAGTTCCACCATTAGTTGTAATTCCATCAGATATTGATATTGAATTTGATGATGATGGTGGTGGTAGTTGTGATTGTGTTTGTGATGGTGGCGGTGGTGAAGAAGTATTAATTACTTTACTATAAGGTGCATTGAATTGTTGATGAATTTGAGCTGCCATACGAAGAAATTCTTTGAATGTATCACCATTACCATTTGTATGTGTATCTGCCATTAATGGTTTAACTGTAGTTTTATCATTTATTGATGTAACAGAATTCGTTGATAATGTATTCGTATTTATTAATGGTGGAGATATTCCTGGTGGAATTCTCATAGATGAATTTGAATTTGATATTAACTGACTTGGTGAAATCGAAGGATAATCAAAAAAACCATTTTGTTTTGGTGAATGTTTTTGATTTAATAAAGGAGATTTTGTTAAATTAGGAATACCATTCATCATACGAGGATTAAAACGAAGTTCACCAAGTAATTTTTCAATTGATACTCGTTCATATCGAGTAATGTTTGGAATCTATGATTAATTAAAAACAAAAATATATAAACTTGCTTTATTTTTATTAATTTATTACTTTTAAGATATGTGTTTCAATTAAATCACTACGTTTATTCATTCGAATTTGAAGTTCACGAATATCACGTAGAAAATCATCTTGAGTATATGAACCAATATCTTCTCCATTTAAAGCACATTCAAATCGATTTTGTATTTGATGAAATTCACTAGTCAGTTCATTATGTTTATTACTTAAAATATAAGAATAATAGATATATAGATTTAAAAATAAATGAAGAAATTTTCAAAATACCTATTTATAGTTTGTTCTTCATTAATATGTTTATTAATTTGATTAACTAATGAATCACGTTGTACGACAACAAATTCAATAGCATCACGTGTACGTTGTTCGACAGCAACTCGTATAGCAGCAAGATCACTTTCAATCTGTGTTCTATCACGATTATATTGATCTATTGATATTTAATAGAAAGCCAAATTGATATGTAAAAATAGAAAAAAATGACTTACTTAATTTTTGAAGTAAAGTACTATATTTATTTTTACATTCTTGCCATTTATTTGTTAAATCTCGTGTATCAACTTTCGTAGTTGTTCGATGTTCTTCAGCACATTTAAGACATACAAAATGATCACAATGTTCACATACCTTAATAGGATTTTGTTCTTAATAAATTGAATCATTATTAATTTAATTTACTTACAATAACTTGACATTTATTTCCACAACTGTGACAACGCGCAATAACAGCATCCGAAGCAGATGATATTGATGTCGGTGCTGGTTGTAGCGGCGGCGGTGGTGGTGGTGGAGGTGAAACTATTGTATTAAGTAATGAAGGTGGTGGTGGTGGTGGTGTATTGTTCGTTATAGGCACTTTTTGTTTTGCTAATCTTGGCATGATATCTGCTGCAGGTGGTCTAGTTGGCATAAGAGGCATTGGAGGTGGTAGTTTCGTAGTGACAACAACAGGTTCCACCGGTGGTGGTGGTGGCGGTGGTGGAGGAGGAGAAGTATGTGTTGATGTTGCTTCTGGTGGTGCACCTGGTGGAGCTGTTGGTAATTTTGCAGCTGCTTTCTTTACTTCTTTATTTGCAGATTTTTCTGCACCAGATGCTTTTTCCATTGGCTATATATACATATGATAAAATGAACTAATTCAATATTTTTTCTTTTTATCTTACCATTGATGATGCAAAACTAACTTCACGTACTGTTTTCTTTTGTCCAAAATTCGAATGTGCTACTGTTACTAATGATTTTTTAAATATATTTTTTGATTTAAATGGATGTACTGCATCGCATACTGGACATACAAGAGTATTATCCTCTTTATTGAATAATTCCAAACAACATTTATGACACACAATATGACCACTATAAAATCACGAATAAATAAAATAAGAATTATTAAATATTTTAAATTACCATGGAATTTTACGTGGTTCATTCCCATAAATATTATCACTAGATTAGAAAAAAAACATATTTAATTAGAAATAAATATAAATAAACTATACCAGTTAGGACAATTATCTGGATTCGACATATTAATCTTTAAGAACAATTAAGTAAACATATACATCTAAAATATAGTTAAATTACATAACACAAAACAAAGCAAAAAATCATGATCACGCATGTTGGTTAATTCTCTATAAAGAAATGAAATGAAAAAAAAGAAAACAGAACACTCTTATGTAGTCAAGAAGAAGGAGAAAAGAAGTATAATTTTTTTTCATAGAATTACAAGAAGAAAAAAAAGAGCATCATTTAATATTTTAAAAGTTATCCATATCTGATATGATGACTTATCTAAATAAAACTGTTCATAGAAATTATCAAGTTTAAATATAGCATTCAATTAATCCATTTTGTTGATATTTTTTACAACCAAGTAAAATTTCATTATTTGGTCCAATCGCAAAACCAAAAACAGATGTACGTTCAATTTGAGACATGACAGCACCATTTGAATCAAGTTCAATAATAAGATGATTTATTAAAGATGGACGACTATTTGGAGGTAAATCTTCATCAAGTTTAAGCACCATGGATTTATCATCACGAAGCTAAATGAATTTTCTAAGTTATTAATGAATTAATTAAATTACTTACTAAAGCATTCCATAAACGAAATACTCCTTTTGTACGTAATAGACTTTCAATTTCATTAATTTGTTTTTTTGATTGTTTATCATATATGTATGCACTTTGTGAATTACGTTCAACAGTAGCAATTGATGTTTGATTTTGAGTTATTCTAATTGGTTCAAAATCACGACCAAATTTAAGAAATTCTTCACGTTGTTTCATATATTCTGGAATTTGTTGAACATTCATAGGTAATTGATTATAATAAACTAAAAGAATAAAATTATGAAAAAGAAAAGAAAAGATATGAATATCATACTTGAATGTTGATGACGATCAACTCCCCAGAGACATTTAAAAGCAACATCAGCTGATAATTGTCGAACAGGAAAATTTTGTAAACATGTATCACCTTGTTGATAACCACGATGATCAAAAAAATAGATTGAACTTGTATCAGTTTGATCACTCAAATCTCAATAAAAAGAAAAAAGAACAAATTCATTTAATTTTAATTAGAATATTTTTTAAACATACGAGTTGCAACTACGATAAATGGTGTATAAACTGTAAATGTTTCAATAATCTGTGGTTGTTTACTCGTCATATTTCCAGGAAAAAGTTCAAATTGACGTAAACGACGAGGACCATTCTTTGGTGTATTACTATCCAATTGATATAAATCAATAGAACCAAATTTATCACAAGCAAAAAGAAGATGATTTTTCTTGGAAAGTACACATAGAAAATGAGGTACACCTGCTGTATCTGTTGTCCATTGTTTTTGTCTTTGTATTATAGGTAATGTTGCTGTATCCTCTGGTATGATTGTTGATTTCTCTTGCAATCCATCGTTAGTCTCAGTAGAAATATGATCATTTACTGTTGAATTTAATGAACGATTATGTATAATCAATGGTTTAGTCAAATTATGATCCGACATTGGTTTAGAATTCCATTGTAATTGGCCAAAGACATCGGATATACTTAGCGATTTTGGAGGGGATAAATGAGGGTACTATAAAGAAATAAAATTGCTTTCTCTAGTCGTTTTTCTATTAAGATTAATAGGTAATATGAAGAAATTAGTTTCACTCGAATTTTGGTGATTCATATACTTCCTATGATGAAAGTTTGTAGTTTCCTCTCTCGGAAGTAAAAAATGATTTTCAAATAGATTGAGTGTCGTGTGATTTTTTAAATAGTAGCTGATGCACTTCACATTTTCATTGGATAGAAGGTTAAAACTTATTAAAACAGAAATGTTTATATCTTACTTTGAGTGAGTTAGTCTGTAATTGTTTTTCTCGATTATAAATTAATGTATTCAAATGTTTTATTTCCAAACAAAATTCATCCATATTATTAAATGTATTCGGATCTCTAAGTACATATATATTGAAAATTTTATAAAATATTTCGAATAGATTCTTACTGAAATACAGTATTCAATCGTTGATTAATCGAATCATATAATTGTTGAAGATCTGTATGTTGTGTACTAAGAATATATGAAGATTATTCTTAAATAAATCTAGTTTTTTTTAAAACTTACTTTGATAAATTAAATTGAATATACTCTTCTATTTTATTTAATAAATTATTTTTTTCATTCTCAATTAAATGTACTAAATCCATACGTCGTTTATTAATCCTTAATCTTACTTGATCTATTTCATTTTCAACATTTATCATATCTTTATCATAATTATCTAGATATTAAAAGACAATCAAATTCATAAGAAACCGCCACAATAATTTATCTAATACCTGATTGTTGACATAAATTTATGTATTTTCTTTTACATAAATTCCAATGTTCTTTTAATGTTTCATTTAGATTTACTTGATGTTTATCAAAACATTTTTGACAAATAACTTCATCACAATGTGAACATACAAATAGATTAGTTTTTATAGAACATGATGAACATTTAGCAATAATTGACGATGGCTTATGATTGGTTGTCATACTCAAAACACAAAAAAATATAATATTTATCTGAAATTAAGAAGAATGAACAGCAAAAAAAAAAATCTTTGAGTTTTTTTTTATTAATAAAAACAAGAAAAGGATGAACAAGTAGACAGATGTTCCAAAAAAATAATTTTACAATGTAAATTAAAGTTTCATCACATGAATTCATCCGATTCATTACCATCCTAAAACAAAATATAAGATTACAAAAATAAAAATATGACTTTTTCTATTCTTTGTGAATGGAATGTATTCATCTATCTTTTATTAAGCAAATTTACATGACGATTTTTAACAGATAGTACTACGTGATATTTCTCCGAATAGGAATATTTGAAGTTCATGATGATTGATTAGAATCATGTTCCGTTAGAATCTATTTGAATAGTCTACGTATTGTACATAATGTTGGTCACATGTAGTGTACAAGAGATTTGTCAGAACATCGCTTTATTTAATATCGAAGATAAATTCGTACCTTATTTGATTTCATTTTATCCGATTGCATGAGCGATGTATAATTTCTAAAAAGAAAAGAATTTGTTTTAAATAAAATTTTAAAATTTTCCAACTTTAATTCTGCGGCTTCTTGTCGACGTTTCTCTTCTTCCTTATCACGTTGTTTTTGTTCTCTCATTAAACGTTTTTTATCTTCTCGTTCTTGATTATCACGCTGTTCACGTTGGCTCTAAATATAAAATAAATCAAATTTTGGAAAAATTAAAAAATGAAATCATACAATAAAATCTTCTGTTGAAACTTCCGTTTTTGTTTTATTTAATCGATTAACAATTTCATTTTGTTTTTTGTCTACAACATATTGCTTTACCTTTAAAAACAAACATAAAAACGAATTTCAACTAATAATTCAATCTTACATGTTTATCAACATGAAATCCAACTTGACCAACATCCATATCATTTGTTTGTCGAAGATTTCCAACAGGTGTATAAACAATATCAACTTTACTCAATTTACATCCTTCGATACTGTTAGCTTTAACTAATTGACAACAATCATGTAAAGCTGCTGGATCTATATTATCAATACTTTCACCCTAGATCATATAAATTATAATCCTATCTTAAAATGAATTTCAAATTACCTTATGAAGTCTTAAATAAACATGAGCAGATGATAATTTACTAACATGAAACCTAAAATTTCACGATAATATTAAATCTAATTTCAATTATTCTACAAACCAAACATCTTCCGGCCAACAAAATTTCAATAATTCATTATCTAATTAGATATTAAATTAAATCAAGAACAATTTTTTTAGTTTTGTTACTTTCATATTTATCTCGACCCATATAAATTGTATAAGGTGGATCGATAACTATAATATTATAAAAAGAAAATTTCGTTTAAATTAAATAAAATATTTTACCATTGCTAGTAAAAAAGAAAACCATTGTGATTTTTGAAATTAAAATCTAAAGGATAAATAATATCGTTTATTGTATTTTAAAATTTACAGGGAATTTCGATTGTTTCCCAATCTTAAGATATTTAATTGTTTTATCGAACTGTTTGAATTCGATATCTCAAATGATTTACCAATCAAAAGATATATGAAGTTAATCGCTTTTTTTCTTCTGATGTCGCTCTTGATTTTCGGAGACCAAATAAATTTTGTTGAAAACCATAACAGATGGCGCTATTCCGCATTATTTTTATGAAATTTTATTGAAAAATATCATTAGAAATTATCAAATATTTATTAGAAAATATCCTTACAAGTTATTGATATAAACAGAGACTTTCGATTCTTTTCGTTCAACGTGTTAACTATTTCTTTTCGATAAGAATGAAATATTGGGTATTTTCTTTCTTTGGAATAACCTTTATTACACTTTATCGATAAAGATGTTTATTTTACTATAGATAACAAAATCGTTTAGTCTAGAAATCATATCCATGAACATACAAAATTAATGTTTATATACAACTGGTATAGTATTTCTTTTATTTCTATTAAAGTGTATACGTAAAGAAAAATTTTGTTAACTGTTAGATATTCTTTACAATATTTTAAATGAAGCATTTGATTCTTAGACATTCTCTAGTGTTCTTGAAAATTTCAAGTATTTATTAAGAACATGCTAGTCAATTAAAAGATTTATAGTTTCATTCCCTCTCTTATGTTACAACGAAAACATATTCTAATAACTAAATCATACACCTATATATTATTCATATATAATGACATTTTTCTATTTGCTTTCGTTAATAACTGAATAAACAATATAGAAAATCGAAAACGACCCTAAAAATAGGTATGAAAACATATTTACAGGATTATATATATGTAATTCATATGTTGCGATAAAGTACCCTCGAAAACAAATGAGAGTTTTTTTTATATACCCTTGCGCTGCACAGTACAGTGAATAAAAGTAAATAGTAACATCAATTGCGTTATTATAAAATAACATGATTTATATCGATATATTCAATAGTTAGGTAAAAT